CGGCTCCCGGCTTTAAGCCGTGCGCGACATGTGGTAGGCCTATGCCAATGGGAGACCCCCTGACTCTTGTCTGAAGTGCTTAGGGGAGTCTCACCAAACGGACAAGTGCAAGATTTGCAAGGCTTTCAGGCCAAGGACGAAAAAGGAGCGGGACTTCAGGCTTAAGCAGCTCCTCATGGAAGCGGCACTTAGCCCGGATCCTCCTTCAGCGCACCAGGTTTCGGCACCAAGCGCCTCGGTGCGTAGTGCCCCAGCGGCTCCTTCCAGTACTGCACCACGGGCAGACGCGGAAAAGGCGCCACGGCACCGTCCTCCTTCGGCACCGCGTCCGCCGCAAGCCCCTCGGCGCCGGTCCCTGTCTCTGGGACATAAAAGGCCCCGTAAAACTCAGGACACTGCCGTCCAACAGGCACCGGCTCCCCCCGCACCGGTGGTAGAGCCGCGCCCGGCTTCCGAACGCCAGAGGGTGCAAGTATCATCAGCACCGTTGACTCCGGCGCCGGGTGTACAGCCGTTGAGTCCGGTGCGGACTGGCTCACCGCCTCGTCAGGTGTTGGAGCCCTGTCTCCCTTCTACACCGGAGACGTTTGCCACGGCGAGAGACCTCATCGCCCTCACGGAGCCGGCGACTTCTCAACCCGCGGCACCGCATGCCCTTCATATGGTACAGTCCTGGGGCAAGCCTACCCTGATACGGCCGCCTTCTCTGGGCGTGGACTTGTGGCACCGCTCCCTGTCTCGGAGCAGGTCTCAACACCACTCGCAGTCCCGGCACAGATCTACCTCCCGGCACCGGTCTTCTTCTCGGCACCGACCCGAGCACCAGTACCGGAGTCAGGGCGCAGCTCTCGGCACTGGTATGAGCGCTGCTCCCATTCCCGAGGCCGCTCCCGGCACCGAGGTTACAGACGGTCTTCATCGTCCAGATCCAGATCCGGATCCCGGTACCGACATGCATATCGGCACTGTTCTCGATCCCGGTACCGTTCACCGGCACCACGCAGAGACCGCTCGCCGATTGATCGGCACCGCTCCAGGACATTTCCCTGCACCCACGCTCGGCACCACCCTGGCCCTCGAGATTGGCGTCTCACTCTTCTGAAGGGGCTCCCCGTTCAACATACCCTGCTCAAGGTCAAGCCGCAGACGACTTGGGTCATTGGCAGGAGGGGGCAGACAACCTTCGACAAGACCCTATGCATTGGTCTTTCTGGACCCCTTGGGCATATCACCAGGCTCAAGGGGCTCCACTAGCGGCCTCTCGTTCGGCTCACTCTGAGCCCAAGGTTCCTGAGGCCACCATCTCCCGTCCTCCTCCAAGGGGTATGGAGGCCCTGGCCCCGACGCCCACGCAGGAACCAGACCCTGGTGCAGGGGATCCTGCACCTCCAAGTCCCTTGGAGCCGGACCCTCACACAGATCCCTTACCCCCTGAGGCGTCCTCCTCATCTTCCCCAGATGAGGCAGTGGCGGGTACAACACCCTCAGGCCCACCTCCTATAGCTCTTCGTGCCCACCAAGACTTGTTATGTAGGGTGGCAAGAAATATGGACCTACAGGCCGAGGAGATAGCGGAGGTGGAGGACCCGGTGGTGAGCATCCTTTCATCTGATGCCCCAACCCGGCTGGCGTTGCCCATTATCCGAACAATTCAGGCTAACGCTACGGCCCTATGGCAAACCCCGGCCTCCATCCCTCCAACTGCCAGAGGGGTAGAGAGGAAGTACTTTGTGCCCTCTAAAGACTATGAGTACCTCTACCCGCATCCCCCACCATGTTCACTGGTAGTCTCATCAGTGAATGCCAGAGAGCGCCATGGCCAGCAGGCGGCAGCGCCCAAATCAAAGGACGCTAAGCACTTTGATTTGTTTGGACGCAAGGTTTATTCAGCAGGGGATCTGCAGCTCAGGGCCGCAAACCAACAGGCGCTCTTAAGTCGGTACAATTATAACTCATGGGTTTCCATGGGTAAATTCAAAGAGTTGGTTCCCCAGGACTCAAGGAAGGAGTTCAGGGCCCTGGTGGAGGAGGGCAAAAAGGTGGCTAGAACCTCCTTACAGGCCGCCCTCGACATTGCAGACTCGGCCGCCAGGACTCTAGCGTCTGGGATAGCCACTCAACCTGTCTCCTGGCTCCAGGTTTTGGGGTTACCGCCAGAACTGCAGCAGACCCTGCAGGATCTGCCATTCGAGGGCCAACCATCATGCGCTCCCTGGGGATGCATGTCCCAGGATCTCAACGCAGGCCCTTTAGGCCACAGCCACAAAGGTTCTACCCTCCTCCTCCTCGTCTGAGACAGGACTTTCCCAGAAGGCGGGGACGAGGTGGTAGACGGAGGCCGACCGGACCCCAACCTGGTCAGAACCAGGGCCCCCCTAGGCCACCTTCAGGACCTAGGCAAAACTTTTGAAGCTGCGCCCGAGGACGGCACCCCAGCCACTACCCAGGATCCATCTCATTTATTT